GCACTCCCAGTCAAAGGCGACCCAAGCACCACAGCATCCCCCAGGAGCTCAGGCAGAACTCAGCACCCAGGATGCTCTCCACACCACCAAGAGTTCCCACCAGAACCAGGGTTTTAAAAAATAAGTAACATTCTCAAAGGAAAACAAACAAACAAAAACTCCCAGGAAAGCAACTTCCCCACCTTAAAAACAAACAAACAAACAAACCCACAAAACACATACACACCCCTCAAAACTTACTTTAAAAAAGCCCATGCCCTCTCAGTTGCTTTTTTTGCCACGGGAAGAATTTTGCACCAGGTCTAAACACGATCCCTGGGTACAATTAAGCTATGATAATCATATTTTGCAGTCAACCCAGGATGCAGTTTACTTTAGTTGTATACAGGGCCATATGCATTCACTTCATCTTCTTTTAAACTGAATACCAAGCACTAAGCAGCAAACAGTAAATTATCAATCACTTTATTTCAGATATAGGATTCTTACGTTTATCACTACTAGTTTAGTTCATACAGAGTCTCCTAGAAAACCGCAGAGGGGCAGCTGTGAAGCACACAGCTTAAGTTTTTAACTTAACACTGACAGTTCTTAACACAGACTTAACTTAAGAACAGACTTAGCACAAACTAGAGAAACCCATGTTCCACCACTGTGATTTACTTTATTTGCACATTTAATAAGCTAGTATCACTCATGTTGGTCAAATATTGTCAATGAATCCATTTTAGCTTGTGAGATTCACTGCTAAAGATTCACTCCGAAGAGCAAGTAGAACCAAGAGTGAAAAATCAAATACTTGTTTAAAAATTCAAGCAACCCCACCGAAAAATCTTCATAAAATTCAAATATCTGGAGAAAATTTACATTTCATAAGGGTAATTATAATGTGCTGGTTAGAGTACAAAGTCTCTAACCATCTCTAAATATTTTATTTTCCCCTCATAGTTCATATATTAGCCCTTTCTAGAACTATACAGACACATTCTACTTTATTATATAATATGTGATTATTCAGTTGGTTTAAGATTAGGATTTTTCTTATTTGATGTCATAATCTGTACTATAAATTCTTATATTTTTAAAATTATTTTAGGTACTTGTTCAGCAATGCAACTTTTTTTTTGTAGACACATAACTTGAGTAATGATAATGAGGCTAAAACATCTTGATTAATGTAATTCATAACTTTTTGCTCTTTGTATAATATCATTTTATTCTCTCAGTGGCAAGCAGGCAACTCTCAATTCAAATTAAAGGGTATCATTAGCAGTAACATTCCACCAATGTTTTGCCCATTGATTTAATAAAACAAAGTGCTACTGCATGAAGTGGCCTTAAATCTGCTTATACTTAAAGACAAAGATTGTGAAATCACAATATGCAAGGATTTGTGGGCTGTATTTTTTTTGTAAAGAAAGTTTAGAGCATTTGGATTTGTACCTCTATCTACTAAAGCAAGATCAAATCCTGCAAAGAAGTATGTGCATACACGGCTTTTTTCAACTAGTAGTACCTATTCGTGTCATATGCAATTAAATACATATTCATATATACATATCTACATATCTAGCTTCAAGGCCACTAACATAAAATACACAAGTTACTTTGGCAGCTGATTACTGATAGTACTAAAAAACGCCCAAACTGAGATAATTTAGTAACTTCTTGTTTGTTTTCTTAAGTTTGCCTTCCCTATACCTTTCATCATTTTGTACATGCTGATCATGTTTATTCTATTTTCTATTGTAACTTTTCCAAAAGTTTTTCTGTGGAAGCTTCTATAGGACTAACATTCTTGCCACTCTTTCTTTTTAAACCATCCTTTAACTTACGAACCTTTGAAAAGCCATGCAAAAAGCACTACGCACACTCTAATCAAGGTATAACATTATACCATACAGCATAAGAGTTTATTTCCATTTCTTTATTTAAATAATCATTTTCATTATCAAAAAACCACACACTGGATATTCTGTTAAAACTTCTGTTCAGAAGTTCAGGTAGTTGTACTGATTGTTTTATTTAAAATATAATAACAAACGTTAATTGTTCACACTGCTCCCTCTTGTGAATCTTATTTTGCATTTGCTAACTTTGACTGTAATTTGCTATCACACTGCCTATGCACTGATGACATGATAATCACCGACTAATGCCTAGGGCACCTCATGTATGAGGACCTTTCATACTTGGTACTATAAGCAGGAAAACAAGTCTTTTGACAGATCTTAACATGTAAAGTCTTGGTATAACAGAGACAAAGACAGAAGGAAAACACAGAAATAATTGCATAGGCAGTGGTCATATTAAATTAACCACTGACTTGTCATAGACATAAGGAAAAGCATAATAAAGCAGTCATTCAGTCAGTGCTGACAAGAGTTTTGCTGAATGGATGAACAGTGAATGCTCTTTCTTCTCCATTACTCACAATTCAATTGTAGCTTTGATGCTAAAGACCTACAGAGGTCTGAACTAAAGATGACAATGCAGAGTACAGACCCAGAGGAAAAGCACATCATGAAGCTGTCCACAGTGACCTAAAACAGGAACAGCAACAAGGTCCCAGGCTCTTCTCAGTGACAAACAATGATAAGACAAGGGGTAACAGACACGAACTGGAACACAGGAGGTTCCCCTTAAATTTGAGAAGAAACTTCTTCTCAGTGAGGGTAAGAGAGCACTGGAACAGGCTGCCCAGAGAGGTTGTGGAGTCTCCTTCTCTGGAGACATTCAAAACCTGCCTGGACGCCTTCCTGTGTAACCTCATCTAGGTGTTCCTGCTCCAGCAGGGGGATTGGACTGGATGATCTTTTGAGGTCCCTTCCAATTCCTAACATTCTGTGATTCTGTGAAACAGTATCAGCAGCAAAACTGCAGCCACGTTAGCAATATGTGATGGAATATCAGAGACCAGCTAAGGTTTTGATTTGAAGAGAAACAGATTCTGCTGGAAGAAAGCAGTAGATCTCCAGTTTCAACAAAGATCATCCTTGAATTGCATGTGAGATTACCTGGAAAAAAGCTGCAGATGTAAACTACAGACTGACATTCAGTCAAAGTAGGAGGCGCAAATCAAGTGAAGGCTGGCAGATAACCAGTCAGGTTTCCCAATGCAGCAGCACTGCTAACAGTGACATTCAACTACTGTGCTAGAGGAAGGAAAGCCTGGCAGAACAGGCATGGTAGGAGATACAACGGAGAAGCTCACAGCTGGGACAGAAGAGGGAGGCTGATACCACAACTGCAGGGGATCGGGCAGCAGTGTTCCCACTGGGCAGTCTTCACCAAGAACCAAATCAGCAAAGAGGTGCTCTGGTGAGGAGGACGTTTAGGGAGTGGCACAGGTTATCAACACAGAAATTGAAATTACTAGTTTTGAGTGCCACTGTGTATGAATAGAGGGGAAGGGGTGGGGGGGGAGAACAGAAGCAATGCATCTTTCACATAATTACATGCTACAGCTCTACTAGTATTCTTTTCTCCTTACTAGCTTTAAAGTATTTTTTCCACTCTTATTTCATCAGAAATGAACTTTGTTTTCTTGGCAAGGAAAAATATCTATTTTTTTTTTGTTTAGCTCGAAAATAAGCTGGTTTTAAATTCTTTAATCAATGAACTGCAGGCAAATCCTAGAAAAACATCATCTCGTTATGAAAAAGCAGAATAATAATTTTTAAAAATGCTGATAAGTAATTCTTCTTTTCCTAATTTTTCCCTTTCTAATGTGAAAAAAACCAAATACAAATTTGGAAGACATCAGCAACAGCACTTTGGTAAGTATATTTTGAGCAAAATATTTAAGACAGCTATGAAATTCTTACTTATGTGGGACTGGAAATTATTTTACTGTAAAACTGACCTGTTTGGAAAAAAAAAAAAACAAAGGTAAAAAACCCCAAAACACAAAAAAACCACCACCAACAAAAAAACTCACAAAACATGCAGATAGTTAATTTCTTTCACATAATCTCCAAAAGGTCAACAGCTGTAACTACAAAAATATCGCTGCCTTTGTCAAATTCTGCAAAGTCACAGAATATTTCCAAAAATGAGAGACTGACTCTTCAGCTTGAGACAAGAGCTGTCAAGCAAGAGGGAAAGGATATAACAGGCTTCTATAAAATCAAGGATGGTATAGAAAAATGAACATAAAGTAGTTATTCACTGTTACACAACGACTAGGGAATCAAGTGAAATTAAGAAGTTTCTAGAAGAAACACAGAAGCATGTTTTAACATAATGTGTAATTAAAACAGTGGAACTCATTGTCACAGAATGCTGCAAATGACAAGTACAAAAATGTGAAAATAAGCTAGATAAATTCAGATACATGGCCAAGACTAGAAAAAGACGATAATCTTTTTTTATTAACTTATCCTCAAGCACTGCCTGATTGTCCTATCAGATAATTACGGCCTCCAATTCTCTGTTTACTACCAGAATATTTTAAGCACTATGCTTGGTTTCAAACCTGTCACACTGTTGTATTAAATTTTAAACTATAAAGCAAATGCACATTTCTGCTTTACTCATACCTAAGTACATCTCTGAGTTCAGCATGACACACAACTAGGCCTCTAAATCACTAGACCCAATTCCGCCAAGTATGTAGTTACCCAGTTATCTTTTTAATCTCCACAACGACAAGAAAACAACTGCATTTAGGCAAAATCTTAACTACTCTGGAAATGATTTTTTTTTATGTAAACTGTTCATTTTACTTTAAGCCAGGAGAAATACTTCATGTAAGTGATTCATTGCAATTCCATCACAGTGGATTAATACAAACCTTACAAAGAATATAAAATTCTAACTGAAGACCTCTTTGGTCTTTCATCCTATCAATCTTTTTTTTCTTTGTATTTATGGTACTACATTTAAGCAAAGATATACAACAACTTCTTAAATATTACTGCAAGAGATAAAGACCAAAGAGAAGATCAAATTAGTAAATTAGGAACGGGAAGCAAACTGTATGAATCTACCAAATTTACCTGGATGGCCGCCAGGTTCTTCTGCTCCTGTGATGGAGCCTCATGGACAAAACGTAGCCAATTCGAATGGCGTGGACTGCTTGCATCCAGGATATAGAGGACTTCACCCTTACTTCCACGAACCTGAAACATTAAAAAAAAAAAACCAAGCAAAATTAAAACTTTTTATGAAACAAACAAAAACAAGCAAAACACTAAGTAAGGCATGCTTGTGCTCAGCAAGTGACTCCTGATCGCATTCAATGGGTACCCCCAGCACGCTCACCTTTTTCTATAAGCATATTTATTCACAGAATCACAGAA